GACAAGGGTAATGAATGTACAAATGTGCTTTACACAATTGATGTATGTATGGATTGTGATAAGAGTCATATGAGCCCCTAATAAAATGATTTTTTTTAAAAAAGAAGGCTTCTGTGTTTTAAGTTCAAGGACTCCCGGGGCAAAACCACACAACCTGAAGTATATTCCTTGCTTGATTTCCTAGATACCTGCACGATTCCACTGTGGAATCCTTAAGGCCTCCCAACCAGAGATCACAAGAAGTACCCTCAACCGGCCAGAGAGACACAATTTCCCCCTTTCGTAGTAGGCAACAAGGCAAGACAACAGTCTGCTAGTCTGATGAGCACTTCACCCTCTGTCCCCAAAGAGCCTGTTTCACCCACCACAGATGGGCTCCAACACCTATCGGCATGTCGTCTTGTGGCCATGTTTCAACCGGAAAATGAGTGCGGGAGCCATTGGCCCCTTTAATTCCTTCACTCATTTTGTCTGTGTCCAGCCCATCACTTCTTCTGGATGACCTGTGACGGATGCCCTTGTTAGGAGTGGAGCCTGAGCGTCCCCAAAGCTTAGGAACTCTTCATGCTAATCTGTGCCACCTCAAAGGAGTATTCGTTACCACAGCAACTGAAAGCGCACGTACCTGGAACCTGAGAGCCGCTGAGGGGAGGTGGGAGGGCTAGGCACCCATTCAGCAGGGAACTGCACCTGCGGCTACAGCAAGGTGAGCAGGGTCACATTCCTGTGGTGAAAGCTGTCAACAGAAGGCAGAAACTACCAGATGAATGAGTCCTCGCAGGCCTGAGCCACCAGGGAGCAGAGCGGAGCTGGCCGAGAGGAAGTCTAGGAGGCAGTTCCAGCTGCAAGTTCATTTCCGTGGGGGTTTCCTCCCCGAACCAGAAAATGGATCGATGTAGAAACAAAGTCCTGTGACACCGATTCTGACGCACAAGCTCACAAGTGCTGTACGGCTGTATTCAACAGGGTTTTCAATGGCGTCCGTTTTGGGATGTAGATCGCCAGGTCTTTGGTCTGAGGCACTTCTCTCCTGCTCCCTTCCCTCTCACCATGCAGCCACGCCCTAGGGATTTCCAAGGCTGCAGTTATTGGCAGGAACAGAAAGTGGTCTTTCTCCCAAGGAGCTGCTGGTGGTTTCATACTGTCGATCATGAGGGTTGCAGCCCACCATTACACCTAACCCTTTGCCTGGGCGCTCAGTGCATGAACTGTTTATACCACTTAGGTACCATCTATCAATATCTACAGCCTTATTGATGGTATCTTGTTGTTATCTACAATCCCAGGCCTATTTACTGAGTGCAAACATATGCAGGGTGAGTAAAGTTTGTTGAGTCTTGCTGCTGAACGCCTACATGCTGGCCTGGCTGTCTCTCTATTCTTAGTTTGGATAATGAATGTGTGCCTGGATGTCACTGCAATCTTGCCAGGCCCATTACCAACAGGAAAGCTGGCAGTGAATAAAAGTTTTCATACCAGTTGGATACTGGTACCTGTTTCAGGGTGAGCCCTGGGCCCACCACTGTCCAGCTCTGACACACACAGAACAACATGGCTTTGTAGTCCGAGCTGGGTCTGGATTTCTACTCCGTTGTTTCCTGTAAGAGTCCCTCGTGGAGGGGGGCAGGAGAAGGCGGCGCATCCTGCTGCTCCATCGGGCGGTCAGGAGTTGCAGTCTCACTCCATGGTAGTTAACAAGCTTGACCTCAGAGGGCGGACTGCGGTTACAAGATGGTAGATGAGGTGGGGGATGAAACTGACCTGCTTGATTTGGAATGAATGCTGCTAGACCACATTTTTCCCCAAACTGGATGAGTTGACATCACTCTTCGGAGTATTTGGGCAGGAACTGGGCTTCCTTAAAAAGAAAAAGTCCATTTCCTTCTGGACATTCTTAGCAGGAGGGCGAGGCAGATGGGGAAATGCTTGTTACAAAGGATCAGCCTGCTCAGCGGGTTCTCCTTCCGGGTGCTTCCTGGCTAGAGGCTCATAAAAACGTGCACGCCCTAGTTCAGAACGCTTGGGAAAACATGTCATTTATGCATGCACTCTTACCCACACCTATGTAATATTGCCTTCAGAATGGAACCACATCTTTAATCTGGCACCAAGGAGCCTGGGTGGAGACTTTGAGAGGGCGGCTGTTATTAACTGCCATCTTGTTGGCCCCAATGCATGGCGCCCATTCACAACTGGACAACATACTGCCTTGTCTCACCACCATCCTCTCAGGATCGGTTGTGGACTGTTATCACCGGCTGATTTTTGGAAGTTTATCACCAGTGGCCGTTCTCCCTAGTCTGATTTGGTGTGAAAGCTCTGAGTTCAGGATCATGCATAGCACCATGCAAGCTTCTACTGATGTCAGATGAGTCATGACTGCCAAGGTGTACAGCCCGAAATTAAACCTGGGTCTTCCACGTGGACGATTATTCCCTGAATTTATCGCTATACACTGAAATCACCCATTAAAAAAGGACTAGATCACTAGTGAACACAGCTTAGGGAGCACCCTTCAGCACAAAGAGAGCAGTAAGCAGTTGTCAAGGAAACAAACCCAACAGCTCCTCTGAGGAGAAGGCTGGTGAGCGATGATGAAAGCTGCAAATATCTGTCTGAAAGTTCAGTCGCAAGCTCTACTCACATCACTTCCAGTGTCATTAGAGGAATAGTCTCCTTCTCAGGAAGTAAAGTAAGATTAGCCAGGGCACCCGTCTACAGTCGTCTTTAACAATGGATTATCTAACATAATAACAGAAGCCCAAATAGCAAAAGACATAATAAATGGGGCCTCCTAAGAAATGAAACTTCTGTTCATCAAAAGACTTTGCCACAAGAGTGGAAAGACAAGCCGACTGGAAGAAGAGAATCTCTTCAAGAACCACCTACCTGAGGCGAGTCCAGTCATCAATACACGTTTGACAAGTTATAACCTCCCAGTGTAAAATGGGCAAATGACGTCAGTAGGCATGTTTCATCGAAGAGGCCATTCAAATATGACCACGAAATACATGAAAGGATGCTCAGTGTCATTAGCTACCAGAGACATCCTGTTTCATTCACTCTGGCTAGGATAGCTAAGATGAAGCTAAGCAAACAGAAAATAACAAACGTTGGTGAGGATGTGGGGAAATTGGAAGTCGCATCTACTGCTGATGGGAATGTAGAATGATAGTTATTGTGAAAAAGTATCAGATCCTTAAAACAGAACTATTCTATACAACTCTGCTCCACTACGTTTACATCCAAAGGATCTGAAAGCAGACGCAGACTCACATATCAATGTTCACTACAGCACTGTCCATAAAAGCCCCAAAGTAGAAACAATGTAAACTGCCCAGAAACGGATCAACAAATACGGTACATACATACTACTGCTCAACCAGTAAGAGAAATTAAATCTTGCATGCTAGAACACAATGCAAGAATGCATTATGCTGACATAATTCGATCACAAGATATGAATTCATTCATATGAATTCATTCATGTAAAAACGATATGAATTCATTCATGTAAAAAGAAAACCGGCAAGGGTCCCGACGCCTCACGCTACACTGAGGCATATAGCTAAGCGACTGCAGCCGCGAGTGAGATACTGGTGGCCGTGGGCCTTTACGGGCAGTCCCAAGCAAGCTGCTTCGACCCCGTGGGCATGGCGGCCGGGGAGCTCTTCGGCGCCTTTTCCTGTCTCAGGATCGGAATGTGGGTCAGGAGCTGATGGGCGGCATTGGAAAAACCAGGATGCAGAGTGGTAGCACTTTTGGCACATTCATGGTGATTGGGATGGGCATCCGATGCTAACCGGTGCAGTGGTTGCCTAGTTTGTCTACCCTCTCCCGCCAATTGTAACCCATGTACTATAATAAAAGTCTTTGAGTTAAAAAAAAAAAAAAAAGATAAGAAAACCAAAGTTTATTAGAGGCTACCAAGTTTACCAAGAGGTAGGAGGGAGGGCGAAACTGCTTGTGGAGTACTGAGTTCCCGTTTACCGTGATGGGAAAAAAGGGGCAGGTTTTCATGACTAATAAATGTACTACCAAGAAATTGCACAGCTATAAAAAGCAGAATGGGCGAACGATGCATGTACAATGACAACAAAACAAAAAGCACCAGACAACTTCTGAAGCTGCTCATGTCCAAAATTTTAAAATGCTAAGGGATCTGGTTCTTATTTGGAGGTTCGGGGCCTTAATTGGCCTCGTAAGATGCTAACTGCTTCCGCTCTACCTCCTCGTTTGCTGCGTAGTGCCCGGCACCCCACGTTCGCAAGCAGCCATCTGAGACACACTTGGTTTCTCTCTACCTGCAGCAACAGAGGATGGAGTCCGAAAACGTGACTTACTGCCAGGAAATTAGACTGGATGATGGTATCCAGCTACTGATCTTGAACATTTTGACGACAGATTTCTAGAGAAAAACCCTGATCCAAGGGAGAAAACGCAGAACAGGATGCACAATTCTCACAGAATGCACTTTCCAGAGCCATGGAGGAGGAGCATGACTCCCTGAAACAAACGCTTTAAAGTTTAAACCCCAAGTACCGCCTGAAATTTTCTTAAAGCCAAACAATAGTGTAACGGTGACAGGTCCGTCCTCCGCGAGTATTCCGCTACTTCAGATCTGCTTCTATGGGATCACAAGGACAAGAGCAGCTTCACGGCGGTGAGTCTCTGTTAAGGAGAGCTGAGGGCGGGCAACTCTGAAAGGAGGGCGAAGCTTGCTGCACGCGGGGACTATGGTCACTGAAATGCACACGGAGAAACGAACTGTGGGTTGGCCGTGTACACTATCAACAGTGACAGAACAAATGATTTTGCCAGAGACATATGCTGTAGATACTTTCCCTCTTAGGGGTCGAATGAACGACGGAATTCAAGCCCGAGCCGCCTTCGTCTTAAGGTCGGTGATTCCTAGAAGGTCGCCGCATCCCCAAAGGCCCAGCGAGGACCACCACCACAGATTGATGCGACGGAAGAGCGAATAAAACAAGGAGTCCGTGTGGAAGTTAAAGTATTTATTGATGTGTTTAAACGGTACATTCTCCACAAATCGTATTAAGGAGTTGGTGAGTGAAATTCAATCTGTGCATAGTGGGAAGAGACATGGGTGGGACCAGAGGGGGGAGGAGGAGGAAATAAAAACAGTCACAAGAAAACAAACACATTACCAGAACCTTCAGCCGCTGCTCCCCCCAAAAAACAAACAAACAAACAAAAACAAAACAAAACAAAAAACAACCAAAGAATAGCTTTGAGCATCCAGGGCAACAAGAGCAGCATTTCTAGACCCTGCGAAGGCAATGAAGCATTCAGCTTTCCGCAGTGCTGGCAGACTGGTTTCCCGTCCGCCTTGGAAGGCCCTTTTCAAAGGAAAGCAAACCGCCCCATGTTCCCTTACGGGCCATCGGCAGCTACTCAGCGAGTCTGAGTAGGCGGCAGGGAAAGAGGTGACAAGGGGGAGGAGGACACAGACTTAAGAATACAAACGAGGGTGGGGTGGGCAGTCAGTGCCTTTGGAGGGAAATGCCCAAAGAGGGGTGGGGGTGGGGGGGCGGGCAAAAAACAAACCAAAAAGACATCACACTGGAACACTGCTTATGGGGGCTCCGTGATGAAGAGTGGAAGAATGCCATACACAACTACAGGCTAGTTTCTGTGGAAGAATCGGATTAAGAAGGACAGCAGTGGTGGACACCCTAATCTGCACACGAGGCTCACTAGAAGGTGCTGGAAAGAAACGTCTTCCAATTCTTCGGGGACAAGACATGGGTCTGGAGATGCCACATCACCCAGCAGTGCAAGCACCGGACTCCAAGAAACGGGTCCTTCCAAATCACCGAGAGAGTGTCATGATGCGCTTCCTGCTCAATTCCCGTGCCCTATTTCTCAGCTAGTGTCGGAAACTCGCTTCAAGAGGGAATACTGCTGTTTTAGTGTTTTGAAATAAAAATCAGGGTAGCCAAGTGAGCCTGAAACTCTTGATTTATACAATGCAATTGGAACATCTTCCATTTCTATAGAGCGCATGTGTGCGATAGTACAATAAAACTGGGACCTCTGATTAACTTTAAAAAAGGACACTACACATCAGTGAAATATCTGCAATAGACCATTTTCTCATTTAAGTTTCATATATCATATATTGTTATATTAACATTTATCACCCATTTAAAAGAATGGAAGTTGTAATTCTACAGTAGTATTTTATAGTCTTAATGACCCAGGAGTTCTGAATGTAAGATGAAATTCTCTGCAAGCAACTGTTGGTCAGTAGTCGATCCAAAATGCAGGACCCCTTTTGGCCCACTTGCACCACCCCATTCCGACCAGGAGTGCACACGTCTCTCTGGCTCAGTTAAATCTGCATCTGCTCCAGGTATTTGTAGGTTGGGTTTTCATAACCATGGTTCTGCATCTTGTTCAAATGACGCTCTTCCGGGGTGAGCATTGGGTCAACCTGGAAGAAAAGGGCTGAGGGTCACCATGGTGCACTGGATGAAAGCTGCAGAGGGCATTGTGAACCGGGTCACCTGTTACACAATGTCCTGGGACCAAAAGTGGCCCTCCCTTGGGGTGGGTGGTGGTGAGGAGGTCAGAGGAGGGGGAGGGGAAAGGAGTTGAAAGGAGGCAAGCCTGTGAATGTTTGCAAGGAGCAAAGAGTCCAACGGATGTCCTAGCACCAGGGGTAACCGGCAAGTCTGAACTCTTCAACTACAGAGGAAGGACGGAACTGGACTAGATCAATCTCCGTCTCTTCCAGCTCTGAACTCTCTAGTTTAGCAACCTCCTGCACGAGAAAATCGAAATGACTAAGATGGGCATTTGAACGAATTTCCCAAAGCAGATTATGCTCGTATGGTTTTTACAGTCCAGAATCCAGTGATTCTGACCATTGCCACCACGCACTAAAAAAGATCTAGACGGAAACTGTGTGCTTTGGCGATTTCAAAATTTCCTTTTGCCACCCACCACCCTCCCGAACAATTAGTCTTTATTTGGAAACACCAGCCTTCATTTGCAAATACCTAACACACCTGGAAAAAGAAAGCAACACTGAGAACAGTTTTCACCGTAAGAAAAATTACACGTTCTCACAGCCTTCTGGCCTTCATCTATCCTCAAGGCCAAATTCGTGTAGGTCACTGCAACCCTCTGTGATGGGGAGCATAATTCAGTGGAGGCTGATTTCAAAATGTGACTCAGTAAGGCAGCGGACAGTTTAATTGACCGCGGGGTGTCCAGTCCTCAGGATGTTGGCATTTGAGCTCCGTAATGCTCACCTCTCCTCCCACCCTCGTTGAGGGCTTACAGCTCAGAACAAGCCCTTGTCAGTTAGCGGGAAAGCCAAACGTAGCCCCACTTTCTCACCTCCACGATGCCATGGCTGATGGTGCCGTACTGTCTCTTCCTCAGCAGCACCAGACTGATGACTATGACTGTAGCGACGGCCACGGCGATCACCAGTAAGCCAATGAGGGCACTGCTGCTCAGACTGAAATCCTCCCGCAGTGGCCCCACAGATTCCTACAAGAACAAAGCAGATGTGGAGCAAAGCCAAGTGCACACTGCTAAACGCCGACAGCGGTGAAGATGGCACTCCTCTGAGGTGGCTCTAAAATTCAGCGCTGACACCACGATGCTAGGTCTCAATTAATCCCTCAGGTGTGGAAAACCTCCGCTCTTTTCAAAGGACATGGCCATTTTAACTTTACCTTTCTTACTCCGAAGTGGGGGGGTAATGAGGACAGGGATCTTTTTTACACTGGGAGATCTGGGTTCTCTTCCATTAGAAGCAAATACATACCACTGGCTCTTCCACAAGGCCTCCGACCCTCTCTGTGTTGAAAATCTCCTTAACATCCAGTGTTTCGCCAATGACCTGTTGAAGATGTCAGAATGTTAGGGGAAATTGAGTAGGAACCTACGTCCTTCTCTTTCTTACAGCCCCTGGACAGGAACTGCCCCAGGGACAGTTCTGCCATCTGGTGGTTTTGAACTGTTGACCTTGTGGTCAGCAGCCCAACCGGTAACCCACTCTGCCATTAGGGCTCCTCAAAAGCATAACAGATGGAAACTATTAGAAGGATAATGGGTAACTGTTCTTGTGTGCCAGCACGTTGATTCAGACTCTACAGAGTACAGCAACACTAAGGATCTGCCTCACCGGATTTCCAAGGCTGTCACCTTTAAAGGAGAAGAGGACTCATCCCTAAGTTTGAGCCTCGGACCTTAAGGTTAGCGGCCAAGCACATTCGCCACAGTGCCGCTGCAGCTGCTTCAGAATGATTAAGAACGTTGTAAAGCTAACAGTGTCTAAGAACCAAATCGATCCCATCTTCAGGTTATTCAATCTGTACTCGCTTAAAAATAGCCTCTCACAAATTTTACTTACACCTTTTGTTGCAAAGGTATTACTCTATTATACAGAGGAAATAGGCTACTGGTGAAAAAGTGCTTTTTGCATTTTAATCCTTCTCATACTCAGATTCTAAATACGCCGAATCTGTGAAAGCAGTTTGAGCCCACCACAGAGCTCGTGTGGGTCAGCATCTAGACCACCACCACCCACTCTGACCGCTCTCAAAATGACAATGTGCAGGACAGGAAAGGACAGTGGCTCACCAGGTGCTGATCCACTTCATTCTTGCTGTTAATCACTTTCTCCTCGGCACCTATCAGTCTCCCTTCCTGCTCTCCAGCTCCAGAGCCTGTGCAGACAGAGATCACACCTGTGTTTCCAAAGCTCACAGAAGCAGCAGGCTGACCCGTGGAGGCCAGGTATGCTACCTAACGTGCTATGTGGGACGCACTGCTGGGAGTGTTTCTGCTCTATAAGGATGAGGGACAGACTAGACATTCTCCAAGGGGGACTGCTGGGCACCAGAGGAGGAGAGGGTGGCTGACTTATCTCCTGCTTGGTAGGATGGAAAGAACGGCTCCAGAAAACAGTGTCTGTCGTCAGAAGCTGCGGCCAAAGGCCCAAAGGCGTTCTAGCAAGAAAAACATGCGACCCCTGATGCGACATCACCTCAGAACTCATTCCTCCGACAACCCGGGTTCCTTCAGAACGGGGCAAGAAACACCAGCTATACAGCTGCAAGTTTGCCTAACATCATTATTTTCACCCACAGGCATTTCTTTCTGTTTGCAACATGTTCCCCACCTCTAAGCCCCTCCTAGTCATTGCTCAAGCGGCATTTCCAGGCTGCCGCACTTACAATCGCAGTTACATAATGATGGATTTTCTTCTGCATCTCCCACTAGACTGCAACTCTCAGAAAATAACGTGTCAAGAGCGGTGGTTCTCAACCTTACTAATACCACGGCCCCTTAACACAGTTCCTTTTGTTGTGGTGATACCGCCCCCAAAATCATTTTCGTTGCTACTTCATAACTGTAATTTTGCTACTGTTATGAATCAGGCAACCCCTGTGAAAGGGTCGTTCGACCGCGACCCACAGGTTGGGAACCGTTGGTCTAGGGCAGGGGTCCTCAAACCTTTTAAGCAAGGGGCCAGTTCACTGTCCCTTAGACTGCTGGAGGGCCGGGCTATAATAAAAATAAAAAAAAACACTATGAACAAATTCCTATGCACAACACACATATCTTATTTTGAAGTAAAAACACAAAAGGGGCAAAAACACCCAGTGGGCTGGATAAATGTCCTCGGCAGGCCGCATGTGGCCTGCGGGCTATAGTTTGAGGTCCCTGGTCTAGCGCATAGGTTCCCCAAACTTCTTTGACCCACCACTCGCTTTTCAGAAACAATTACTCAGCGCCCTCCCTGGCCATTAAAAACTTTTGTACTATAGCTCATAATCCAGGGTAAAGAGTGGGTATCTGCCTTTGAGCTCCCCGCAGATTATTCCAGCACCTCCCAGGGGCAGTACCATCCACACTGGTCTAGATCATGGATGGTTCCATTCCAAATAGTTAACACATAATGAGCACATAAAAAGGCATTCCACAAACGAGGAGAATGCCAACGAAGGGTGAAAGTCACCTTTCTCTACACAGAACAAGAATGGTTATACTGTTCTCAGGAAGGCCGGACACCATCAAACCTCATTACTTGCATGTGTCACTCCAAGTGAGGGTCTCTAATACACAGCCGGACTGAGCCCAGTGTCTTTCTAAGGAGAGGAAAGAGAGAAGCAATCTTCTCTGCTTTTAGCTCTAAAAACATGGACGTCCTTGCTTATCTGTAATAGCAAATGCATTAGGAGTTCCCCATGAGTGCCTTCGGTGGGAGCCTTTTATTAAAAGATAAGGAATATGGGTATAGGTAAGGCCCTGTCGTTGGGGAGCTTGGCGGTGATACTAGGTTCAATTACGGCAACTTCCGTAACACAGAGCAATTCTTAACCCCTTTCACAGTGGCTGGACTTGAAGGCTGACAAAGGCATGACGCATTAACTCATTCTAATGCAGGGGGAAATGTTTCCTTTTAAAGAACTGCAGGCTTGCTTCTAGGCTAAGTTAAACTGAGGGTGGCATTTGCAGTCACAAACACCAAGAAAAAGCACGGCTGTATTCTAACCACTTGAGAAAAGAGGGATATGGAAAGGCGTTATCTTGGCAAAGACACTTAAGATCAAGGCTAATAAATTCTAATTCTGAGCTACTTCTATTTCTCTATTTCTATGCCCCTCTTCAGAATTTTAAAGGGCATTTATCTCTAAGAGCAGGCTCTTCTTTTAAAAGATGTGCCATGGAGACAAATAATTTAAGCTTCTACTACAATCCAGACTCTTCTAATACATTTTTTTGGTGTGGTTAGAATCTATGTGGTTTCCTTAAAAGCTGGGAAAACAAAAACAAAACACACTTACAAACGACGTCCCGGGACCCAGAGTTATTTTATGGTTAAAGTACTCCAATTAATGACAGTTGTCATGTAAGGGCCAAAGCCAGTTAAATTTCTAGAAAATTCCTTTTTCGTTATAATCATTTCAAATATGCATTTAGAGGAATAACAACAGTACAACATGTGTGCAGAGGTGATGTTCATGATCTGAGAACAAGCGGTGGCACAAAGCAGAACACTGCTCGTTCATCACTGGGTTGCCACAGCCAAGAGCGGGCTCGCACACCACCCCCCCACAACCCCCCCACACCCACAGTTACGGGGGTTTATCTCAGATGGTCTTTGTCACTGGGGGTGACCCTCTTTCATGTTTGTTACATGTTTGCCTGTCTTGCAGTATATGAAACCCAGGGTGGTAAACCTATAGGCACAGCAAGTAGAATAAGGGTTTCCGTGAGGTCTGGTGGTGGTGAGGTAAAAGGGAATATATGTCAAGGTGTTCAATAAGGAAAAAAATGTTTTGAAACAGATTGTGGAACCAAATGTACAATACTGCTTGCTGTAATTGAACTATGGAACAATATCTGTATTAACTCCCAATAAAATGGTTTGTTTACACACACAGACACAATGAAAAGCCTGAATTTCTTCCCAATGATTCTAGAGACCAAGGGCCACCCAGTAGCCTGGGAGAATTCAGCGGCTCACTTGGCGTTTTATGCGATAGTATAAAAAATACAAGGGCAAAAACTGCCTTCAAATTCTGATTCCTCCAATTTGGAAATGCACGACTTTGAGCAGACAACGTAATCTCTGAGACTCCTTCAACTGCCTACTCTATGCTAAAAATCTTTAGAGAAATGTTTACTGAAGTATGTGACACAATGAGCATGGTACTTTGCATAATATTAACTTTTTTGTTACAAGGATTCACCTGCATCAACCTGTTCCATTCATCAGTTTGAAATAATGTTCTGAAAGAATGTTACAATACTACACATCAGGGGATATGAGACAAATGGTGAAGATAAAGGGCAAACATCTAAAAAGACAGGGAAAGACCTAAAGGGGAGTAGAAGAGAAAAAGAAAAAAAGAAAAAGATTCTCCATTCAACTGTAAATTAAGCATTATTTCTACAGACACTAGCTGTTCACAGCCAACCTGTTAGAAGGGGATATTATCTTAAAAGTCTATCCAGATTGAAACAGTTTCTAGAAACACATATATCGTTGCTGTGTAGCCTCAAGATATTCTGAAAGGGAAGCTGAGGAAGGCGGTACTAACATCTAAGTGCTAGTAGTCAAGCCAGCTTGTTAGCAACATGGATGTAGGGGGGTGATGACTTCCTTTGAAGCCTTGTGTGAAAATGACGTGGGGGAAATCAGATGGTATGAAACATAAAATGAACTTCCGGTAGGTAGACACACTGAGGAAGTGAAAAGGTCTTAAAGGGAACATCTTTGAAAAACCAACCTTTCTTCACTGGGTGGTACAACTCCGGCTGAGAGTCTAGCAGAAAGGAAAACAATAAACGGAAAAAAACAAATAGCACAAAAGGAGATTAAGAAAGAAAACGGCTTTGTTCCCCCCAAATTCTATCTTAGAATTTCTCTATAATGTGTACAAAAAGTGTTCTTCCTTAAAAGCCATGTCTGAAACATCCCACAAACCAACCAACCAACCAGCAGTAAAATCTGAAGGAATTCACTGGGCGGTTACTGTGGTGTGATAAGGAGGAGGAAGTCTGTCTGGACCTTTTTAGGGAAGTTTTCGGAGACTCCCACGATGAAGTTGGCAGTGTGACTTGTGGACAAGGAGGTTCTAGTTCAGTCTGTCCATTATGACTCTAGCTCAAACAAGTTCAGATGCTATCTACCTCCGCAGAGCCACCTGATAGCAGCCCTTGGAGGCTGGGGTATCAGAAAAACGGGACTTAGGCATGGAGTGGTAAAGACAGACTTTATGACGGGAGGGTTAGGCGCACTGCGTCCACAAGGCTGAAGGAACTAGGCTATGAGTGTTTCTACTCTGCCAGGAAGTCAAGACTGTGTCTCCTTCCGCCCTGCACCACCCCACACCCCAGGGCCCCCTCCCAGCATTCTACATTGTCAGAGATCTGACAGTTCCACAGTTGCTACAAACCCTCCACCTATAAGTTACATGACCCTGGGCATGTTTTTAACTGCTGTATCTTTGGGATACCCAAATTCAAACATCTCTAGTACCAACCTTGGAGAGAAATTTTGAGAACTATTTCATGACCCAATTATTTTTCCTTAATAAATTTTTTCTGGCTGATTAAAAAAAGTTAGAAAATTATGGTACATTTCTGTAATTTTATGATAGAGTGTGGATTTTGATACATATCAAGTGGGACATATGTCTCTCTGGACTCTATACCACCGTCTAGATTCCTTGATAAGTGTACACAATTTAGGGAGCCTGAAAATGTCTTCACAGGAACATTTCTAGAACCAACATAAAAGCAACACCTTTCAAACAATGCACCCGATCCACTGGCATCAAGTCGATTCCAACTCAGCAAACACGTATGGCAGGGGAGAAGGAGTCACTTGGGTTTCTGAGGCGGTAAATCTTTTGAGTGTAGAAAGCCTCGTCTTTGTCACACAGAGTAGTTTGTGCGTTCAAATTACTGATCTTGTGTTTCGCAGTCCAGAACATAACCTACTATGCTACCCAAATAACAACCACAAGCCAAGTTCATTGGCATCAAGTTTATTCTGACTCATATTAATCCTATAAAGGATCTCTTGGGCTGTAAAGCTTTATGGCAACAGACAGCCTCTTTTCCCCCAGAGTGGCTGGTGGGCTTGAACCACTGACCTAGTGGGCTAACAGTTCAATGCTTACCTCCGACTGCTACCTGGGCTCCTTCCATAAAGCACAGGAAACCAGAAATATACTTATAAGGCTTTTCTCCAATTAAAAACACCAAGCGACACCACTGTGCAGAATCACACTTCCAGGCTGCATCACCCTGTAATCTATAGCACCATTTCTTGCATTTCAAACCTCATGGAGGTCTGAAAGGAGGTGCCCAATAAAGCCTTGGGAAAAACTTAGCTGGGCACTATATGGTCCATCGGTTATAAACGAGTTAAAGGAGAGCACACTTATGTGTGAGATGCTGAGCTCAAGAGGGCAGCTTGCTTATTTTTGGTACACACTGACAGCCCTCAAAGGTACTTTCGGAGATCAAGAACCAACAAGGGAATAGAGGAAAGAATGCCCAACTACTAGTCAAAGGACAGATCTTCTGTCCCAACTTATGACAGAGAGGTATTTTAAGTGATTCACTTACACACCGTTACCTCTCCATTCCTTACCTCCCCAGATTCTTACAGAAAGATACAATATAAAATGATCGTGTTATTTAAAGCATAAGACCCACACACGCTGAATTAGCTGATAAAAGACCCATCTATAAAATGAGTGAACTATTACTATGCCAACTACCTGAAAGTAGCTCACACAATTCTGACACACAGTAGGTGCTTAATCAATCTAACCCTCTCCTCCCTTCTTGATTCTCCAGGGGAAAGAGCCTACCCAACTCAACCCAGTTTTCAAAGAGTAAGTTCGACTTTCCATCCCATCCTCCTGGCCATGTTGGCAATCATACACACCTTCACTCTCAGGTAAGGGCGGCAAGGGGCGGAAGGAGTGGAAAGGCGGCATCTCGTCACTCTCCTCGGAGCTCACCCGGACGTCCATGGGAGTCTCTGAGATGGAGGCAGTGAACTGGTCCATGTCGGCACGCTGCTCCTGAAGTAGCTCATCTAACCAAGAGACACAGCAGGAAACCAGGCTTTCAGAAAGATCTAGTTTCTAGGCACAGGCCCTACGGTCTGAACAGGGTTTAGTCATGCTGTACACAGATAATTTCTCTCCTAGAGTTACCTTTCGCTCACTCTGCAGCAACACACCGGAAACTCAAGGGCTTCTTACTCGACACTCCCCTTGTCTTAATTCCCCAGGGCTTCCATAACAAAATACCACATGCTGATAGCTTCAACAAGCAGAAACTTACTTTCTCACAGTTTAAGAGGCACCAGCTCCCAAGCAAGGCTCTAGGGAAGGTCCTTGTCTCCTTTCAATCTGTGGGGGCTGGGCGTTCCTTGGAGCTCTCTATGCGTCTTGGCATCAATCTTCCCCTGGGTCTAGGAGGTTCCCTGCATCTAAAGCATGTGCTTCGCTTCTAGCTCTTCTCTTCTTGGTGGCACTAAGGCCCCTCCTTCTTAGCTTGCTTCTCACTGTTTGACTGCTTTTAACTCTTGTAAGGCAGCGTTTCAAGATATCTTACCCCAATTATACCTCATCAACATAATAAATAGAACCAGATCATCAACATGACCTAACCCTGCCTTGTTAACCTAACGGATAGCTCGCTTCCCAGCAGTACTAGTACAATTACCTCAGGCATACCAAAAATCCCAACCAAACTCACCGCCATCGAGCTGATGCTGACTCATAGCAACCCAATGAGTAGCAGAAGGGGCATGCCCCTGTGACTTTCTGAGATAGTAACTCCTCACGGGCGTGGAAAGCCCCATCTTTCTCCCAGGAGAAGCTTGGTGGTTTCAAAGTGCTGACCTTGCAGTTAGCAGCCCAACGTGTCACCACTTAAATCAGTGCTTCCGTAATCTCAGACAGAGGTTAGGATTTGTAACCTATCACAAACGGAGAGCAACTCCACATGAGCCAGCCTAGCGGGCACGTATTTGTGGAGGGGTGGGCGGAGGTGACGGTGCCACAATTCAACCCATGACAGTCCTCTGGCCTCCTGTCACATGTAAGACACATTTACTCTTGTGTGTCATCACAAGATTTAAAATCCACCCCAAACCCACAATCTCTTTCATTAAAATTCCTCTTAATCTGACCCTGTGGAATCTAGGATACAAGTTAAGGCAGATATTTCATTACAAGTGGAAAGAAAGGGTAATAGACTCCCCAAACCCAGCTTGGCTACACCATCTGGGCAGTGACCCAGACGCTGGGTGTTGGCCACGCTTCCTGAATTCTGGGTAGCGACTCCTTGGTCCTAGGCTTCAGCTTTGCTTTTCAGGCTGCCGGGGGCAACAACTCTGTCCCCTTGCACTCAGAAGGGCTGCTTTCTCCCAGCTCCACGCCCTATGTACGACATGACAGTCTCCTCGCTCAGCTTTGGGCGGTGACCTCGGCCCCATCCCACTGGCACGAGGAGGTCATGGCTCTGGGAAACCACTTCCTTCCTCCTTCTGGAGTCAGTGCTGCCCGGGCTTTCTGCAGAGCTTCACAGCCGCTCCCTGCCTTTCAGAAACAGCTCCTGTGGCCTCTTTCCGGCCCATCAAACTCCAGGCAGACAGTGTGCTCTCTTTTTGTTCTTTTTCTGCCCCGTGACGTCTTCCCGGGGTTATCTTGTAACAAAAGATTGTCCAGCCACATCCTTGGTGAAAACTCTCGGACAACTGTCCTTCGTCCAGACAGCAAGATTTCCAGCTCCTTACGCTTTCTTTTCATATTGCACGGTTCCTTTTATGTCTGTCTCCCCCACCCCCTTTTTTTTCAAATTCTAAGCGACATAAAGCAAGCAGGCCCTTTAAAATCTTACACATCTCAATGGCAGATCATCAAGTTCATCACTGGTAAGTTGCTTTTGTCAAACATTTGAACAGACAAGTTCTTTGCCACTGCATTAAAAATACTGACTTCCACTGTTTAATCCCTTGCTTGTTTTCTTTTAAATCACAACCTGAAAGTACGTTTAACATCCACGATTCTAGCAACACTCTGTGGCTGGCGTCCTATGCATTCTCTAAATGATAACGACTTTCTCCATGGCTTTCCTCACTTCCGGAACTGTCTTGGACCCAATTCTACCCACAGGCTCTTCAAGGCAAGCCAGGCTTTTGCTACTTGATACCTTTAAAACCCCTCCAGAAGACGAGCCACCAGCGCTGCTCGCTAAAGCTCTCCAACTGAAGTGGCGGAGGCTGAGATCAGAGGCACCACAAAACAGAACAGAGAAGCTGCTCCGAGACTCTAAGACTGTGAGGTGGAGCAGCGGGCTGGCTTCCTGGCCCACGGAGGCAGAGGCTATGGGACATGTGGCCCAGAATGAAGATGAGGGGACAGAGCTGCTGGCTGGGGAGAGGTGCTGCCGTGGACCAGTAACTGTTTCCTAATATTATTGGGTCCTGGCTTGTGGTAACCTGCTAAGCTCCGTAATAACACCTCTTCCTCCATTAATTGTGGGGAGATAAAAAAGAAACCCCCCAAACAACCCTTCTAGCCTTCACCCATTACCAAAACCACATCCACATTTTAGGTATCTGTTCAGAGCAGCGCCCAACTCTTCCAGTGCCAAATTCTGCCTTAGCCACCCAGCGCTGCTCCAACAAGTGGATGGATTTAATGAACAACTTTGTTTGCCCACAAGAGTCCTAACTCAGTGAGGAGACTTGCTTGGCTTTAAGGGAAAGATTTTTTCTCTACATTGGCTCTGGGGGAAGTTCACATCTCCTTTCAACATCTGAGGGTCCAGCACTCTGGCGATCTCCAGGTGTCTTGGCATCGCTCGTCCTCTGGGTCTAGGAGGGCACCAGGGTCCAGAGGACACACTCTGTTCCTGGCTCTGCTTGTTTGCTGGTGGTCCTGAGGCCCCTCCTTCTCTGCTCAAATTTCTGTGTTTTTATTTCTTGTGGGGGCAATAATTCAAGAGAGAACCAATTGCAATCCTACCTCATTACCATAACAAATATAAGTTAATCTTAAAAAATGATATAATCCTGCCTCCTAATGGACAACACACTCCCTAGTGGGACAGCAACCTGGGATTTATAAGACTTCACAGAATGGACGATCATCAGATTACAGAATGGAAGGCAACCAGATAATCGGACAGGGAATCACGACTTAGAACTCAATTTGACACAGATCTTGGGGGTTGCACAATTCAATCTACGACACCCCTCTTCTCATCTCCACATTGGCTGAATCATCTCGTCCAATGCCAGTTAAGCACTGCCCATCAACCATGACTTGGATCTGCTGGATCTGCAGATCCCAGGCCTGGGTCTGCTGCTCCTGGCCAGGCTCTCAGACAGCCGCCTACTCTTCACACCTTTATTTGGCGTTTAACGTCACTTTCTAATTGAATGTGAGTATACATTTTCTTCCTAAACCTCAATACAATTTTAGCACTGCTACCTACCTTAGAAGGTCAAGCTAAAAACCTAAACACAATCCTCAATATTTCCCTTTCCCTCCCCTCCTGCATCCGATCCATATTGTCACTCTTCTCCAGAAGGACATGAGAGACCGCCCACATTTCTGCACTCCTCTCACACCAGCTCTCTCCTGGATCTTAAAACCACTTCCTGGCTGATGGCCAATTTTAATCTATGAATCAACCATCCTCACAGAAGTGGAGTGATCTTTAAACCTCGTCCCTCCCCAGCTTACAATCTGCTATGGGCTTCATATGGCCTGAACAGAAGTTTAAATCCCGTGATTTTGTTTAAATCTCTTCACGATTTGGCCCGTGCATTTCTTTGTGCTCATTCCCTCCTGGCTACGTTCTGGTCAGACAGAGCTACCCGGATGTGCCACTGTGATGTCAACGTCGGGTCTTTACAGCGGCTGCTTCCTCTAACACTGCTGTTCTCTTCAAGATCTCTGCATGAACGGCCTAGCCCCATCCTTCAGTTTTCGGATTATCACTCTGCAAGGCAGCTTTCCAAGCACCCCCTGCCTCTACGTCTCCATACAGCACCTGCCACCCCAATACTTCTGTTCCTGCCTTACTGTGGGCCCACCTCCTACGATGAGTTCCCCAAGAGATTGTCCACTTATTGACCGTTTTGTTCTGTGAGGCACGGCAGACACATTACAGAGTTGACACAAAAAGGGAGACAGAGTTCTAAAGAGGGAGAAGAAATAAGAATGTGTGCAAAAGATTATAACAAAGATGCGTGCTTTGCAACACATCCGCCATTCAGAGGAATATATGGTAATAGGAAACTTCCTGGGCTCTTGCAATTTGACACCCTCGATTTTCTTCCGGTAACAGTGTAAGGTCACAGGGCTGTGTGTGGAGCCCAGCCATCCGTCCAGGCTCCCTCCTCGACCTTGCTGTGTAAGCGCTGGACTTCTGAAGCAGGGGCTTGCAAACAACCCCCCCCCCCTCAAGCCTCATTTATTCCAGTGCTTTCGTACTCCGGCACTGTGTTACCCTGCACCCAAGGGGGGAAGCTCTCAGGCCAGACAGACACAACAGTTGGGGCACCCACCAATTTCTTCTTGGATCTCTTGGGCCACGTAAGGAACCTTGTAGAGGAGGGAGAGGCTCTGATTCCGTCTTTCTTCGATCACGTGGAGATGTGTCACCACCTGGAAGCACAGTTAGGAGAGTCCTTGTCACTGAAAACAACAACCAGGCGGGGAGGGAGGGACCGATGCAGAGGGACGTCCCACCCAGCTCCAGAGCAGCTGAGGCTGATTCTCTAGAGGCCAGCAAGGCAGCCGGTCTAGGGAATGTGGGCTACGTTATTCCGCACGTGACGTGCACTAACCACTGAACTAGCGGAGTCAGTTCAGACAGCGCATCGTTCGCGGGGTGACCTGATGATTTGCCCGGAGCGCTCCAAGGTAAAGGGAATTTCATTACAGAATTATCACTCGTGGGGTTGCGGCCTGCCGTTTATGAGGCTCTCCATAACGATAGGGTTCTCTTACAAAACCCTAAATAGTCCAGACACTAGTTAAGGTTTTGTTAAGGGTGGAAGTGTGGCTCAATTTTTAGCACTTGTTGCAGTAGATGAGGTAAAATGAGTAAGAACTCACCGGCTAAGAAGTAGACTGTCGGGAGGAGGGTCACTGTAGATTTTATTAAATAAAGCGGCAGCTAAAAATAGCAGCGGCGAAAGGTATTTTACTTCTATTTAACTAGATCACATTATGCTTTAAAAAATTCTTTCCGAGGCATAAATTATAAACCGGATTCTAAGGCAGTGATAAAGGAGAGACTTAACTACCCTTCCATCCCATGACTGCTCCCTTGAGGAGGCCTGGTCGTTCACAGAAAACTGGCAGTTTGATGCCATCCATCAGTGGCTCCATGAAAGAAAAGACCCAGTGATCTGTTCCCACAAAGGTCACAGCCCAGGACCTCCATCCCCACCACCCACAGCATTCTTCTGGGTCAGTCGACTCCATGGCACACAACATTAACAATGGCTCACGTACTGTAAATCTCTTAAAGCTGATACCAGAAGGTTTACTGGGCAAACATCTGCCCTAACTGAGATGTGTTGCTGCAAACGAAGTTGTTCCCAGCAGCTATGAAGCTGTTCCTACAGAGGGAGCTCTACAGCAATGGATTTCATTACTTGGACTCGAAGTATGCAGGGTCAAGAAGGGAAAACTTAAATGGAAAGATGCTTTTATTGCAGATTGATGCCTCTCTGACCTTTAAAAGCAAAGATGAAAGCAATTTAATCTTATATTTGCTGTTCTGTCAATCAAAGAAATTGATGAGAAAGCACAAGAGCGAACGCCTGGGAGGAAAAATGCAAATGAAACTAAAATGTACTACCGACAGCTGAGGCTGAGCCTGCGTTGACACTGTTATATTTCTACAGACGAATTAAGGAGCCATTTGCGAGGGGGTGGTCCATATAGTCACTGGAAGCCAAGAACCATCGGGTAGAACCCTGGAATTAGTACCTTCCTAGACAACCCCTGAGCTATATAGTTAGAAGTGGTGGGTGGGGGGTGAAAAAAAGTCCTATGCCACTCTAACCCAGGCAACCAACTATGGCCCGTTATAATAAACCCATCAATACCGAGCCAATCCCAACTCAGAGTGGTCCTATACAGGGTTTCTGAGGCGGTACACCTTGACGGGAGCTGGCAGCCTCACCGTGGTCGCGTGGAGCGGTGGGTGGGTTAGCAGTACCATGCTCACGACAGTACAGCCTCTTACAGAAAGCTGCATTCTACAGGTGTCCTAGAGTCTCACTAACAGAAGGGTGAACAGACAATTCCGTAGCAAGGTTCATTAGAAGACAGGAAACATACAGCGAGGCTACAGAATGCCCCTGGCTGTTTTCTCAGATGGAAGGTTTTACCTTCCCAAGTTTCTCTGATCTTGACTTCAGAGAATTGTTCTCCAGACATTAATTAAATCAAAGCTTCTCCCCTTTTCTCCTCTCACCATACAAAAACCAAAAGAGTTTTCTTTAAAATAAAGCACTAGCGTATAGTTTTCCAACCCAAAGTTCAAATGTTTTTCTTCTAAAGAAAATGAAGTGGCACTTAAAACTTTTACCTTCTGCAAAGAGGCATGCATTTCCTTCTCGCTCAAGCTTCCTGGAAGCCGCTCTAGAATTGTTGCCATTTCCTTCTTCCTGTCTCTGCCACTCAGCTTCAAACCGAGCCTCAGGCTCCAGACTCACACTCTATGCCAGGAGTCCTCAGACTTTCTAAACAGGGGGCCAGTTCACTGTCCCTCAGATTGTTGCAGGGCTGGACTATAGTTTTAAAAAAACCAATGAACAAATTCCTATGCACACTGGAAGAGTCAGCTGCTAAGCAGGACAGGCAGCAGCGACAAAAACACCTGGCGGGCCGGATAAATGTCCTCGGCGGGCCACATGTGGCCTGCGGGCTGTAGTTTGAGAACCCCTGCTCTATGCCTTCTAGACCAGCCCTAATCTTCTGGAGGCCGACTGTAGTCGTCTTAAACATCCCACTTCTACAGTGAACCCTGCAAGCTTAAGGACTATTCTTCATCTTCATAGTTATAAAATTAAAATTCTATGCAACGGTGCTCAAGGGCACAAAGGATTCTGCTTTGTACTATTGGGTATTAACAGAGTTTGCAATATAGATAGCAAGAACAGAAACATTTGCTCAGAAAATAGAGCAATAAACCCAGCTGATATTCCTAAAACATTGTCTAGAGCAGTGGTTCTCAATCTCCCTAATGCCGCAACAATTTAATACAGTTTCTCATGTTGTGGTGATCCCCCCAACCATAAAATTTTATTTCCATTGCTACTTCCTAACTGTAATTTTGCTACTGTTATGAATCAGGTGACCCCCTGTGAAAGGGTCCTTCGGCCGCCAAAGGGGTCACGACTCACAGGTTGAGAACTGCGGGTCTAGAGAGACTAGCTTATAACTATTATACAAACTCAGGAAGCCAGGAACGGGAAGTTCCTGGGACTATGGGCAAGTATCCACGCTTTTAAATGCTTTTCGTGTACACTGTTTCATTGCAAAACCCAAACCCAAACAAAACCCACTGCCATCAAGTCGGTAAGGACTCACAGCAACCCTATGCAGCACGACATTAAAATACGGGAGGGGCAAGATAAAACCGGCCTGCTATTCCAGGTCTTCTCGGGAAATTACCCAATAGGATGAACTACTAAGCTTATTGAACTAAAGGAAGTGAGTCAGCCATCTAATACACAGGTTATTTTTCTATGAAAATGGGTGTGAAACCCCAGTTCGTAGATGGACACCACACTAAAATGAGTAACAGAGACCAGAAACAAATCTTCATAGATGATTTTTTTTAAAAAGTTGGGCCCAGCATGGGCCCCAAGCCAGGGCTGTGCAAGTGTCTGGACCAAACTGTATCACACAGAAGGAGTAGAGAGCCCAGCTTTAAAGAGCGCCGAATGCAGTTTCTCAGAGTTAAAATGTTAATTCTGGTCATACCCTAAATCAGAACAGAATAAAAAATGTTTAGAAATTGGCGTGTCACTTCAATGTATCGATGCACTCCCAACTTCAGAAACTGCTGACCGACATAGTTGCTGTCCCTTCTGACTCACGGCCATCCTGTGTCAGAGCAGTTCTGGGCTCCCCTGGACTTAAGGTTGTGACCTTCAGAAGCCTTTGCCACCACACCTGTGCTCCCAGGCACCACGGTAGGGGGTCTGACGCGCCAGTGTTATCAGTTAGTAGTTGAACACACTTAACTGTTTACATCACTCAGGGAAATACTTGGCACAGATGTAAGGAAGTATGGGAAAGGTATTTCTAAAACAGTACCTCGCACCCTAGCAAAAAAACCGATTCAAGTGCCAAATGTCTTTGGAAATTAAAAAAAAAATTTTTTTAAGGACTAACAAATAAACACAACCATCAACAACGTCCAACCACTGATCAGAGCAATCTCTGCCCACCTGAAATATTCTCAGAGCAGCAAACGCAAAGACATCTACTGTACCTGGGATTTCATCTGGGCTGCCTTCTCTGGGTCCACAGCCAACACATGCTGGTAATGGCGGATGGTATGCAGGCGGTCCTTGTTCTCAGCACGGACATAGCGCCGCAAAGCCTGGAGGATGCGGTGGGGCTGCAGGAGAGAGAGCAGCTGTGTGAGTAACTAGACTAGAACGCCAGAATCAGGCAGGAAAGTAAGGTTTAAGAAACCCACACGACAGTATAAAGCTCATCTAGGCACAAGAAGGGAAGCTGTTCTTTCAAAAGTTCTGAGCTTACACTAAGTAACAAGACGCTAATCTTTCTAGGATAAAGAAGAAAATCTGAGTTGCAAGGTTACAGAGGCTCCGTAACAAATAGCACTTGTCAGAATCTGAAATTTGTCCTCTTTACTCGGTTTAACTTATGGCAAAAGTTAGGTCGTCTTTTGTCACTTGGAAAAAGCCCTGACTGGTTAATTTAAGAAGGCCTCTCCCAAGACTCTCCCATCTCCGAAAGCAAGGCAGGTTAAAGTTGAGTTTTTAAAAAGTCTGTGACCACTAGCACAAAAAGCCTAAGCTCCATGAATATTTTCTTCATAATTTTTTTATTTAGAATGGAACTGGTTCGAAAGTCTTTATTTAAATATAAAGGAAAAGTAAAGGCTCCGTTTTAAAGTCAAGGAAAGTGCAATTTTACTTTTTTTAAGTAGGACTAGCAGAAAAAAATTAATAATTAGCTCATTACCAAGCAATACTGTGAGGCTGAAAAAGCTCTAGTTTAAGCATTGGACTGCTAACCCCAAGGTCAGCAGTTCAAAGTAACAAGCCACCCTGCCAGGAAAAGATGAGGCTGTCTCCTTCTGTAAAGATTTCTGGTCTCAGAAACCCTATGCCGTGTCACTGTGAGCTGGAATCAGCTGTGGGTTTGGGTACTGAGATTAAGATCCTTTTTACATGATAGGTGGCATGTATTTAGGCATTCAGTGAAATAATGCTAAGCTAATGTAGTAATACCTTTTCCTCCATAATCATCTTTCTTGCAGTTAAACACAATTTTCCCAGACCCGTGCCTCACACCCTGCTTCCACAGAGGCAGACCCCCACTTCAGGCAGGCAGTAAGAATACAGCTTCTCATCACTGAACCTGTTGGGGGAATACAACTCACTCGTGGTGGATCAGACTGCAAGACCGCCAGGTAGTTCTCCAGAGCCATGCGGCGGCGGTCGTTCAGCATAGCTTCCACCCGGGCCAGGTGAGTTTCCACCAGCTGCTGTTTCTCACTAGCCGCTTCCTTCTCTAGAACTTTGACCATCGCCTGGAAGTGCTAAACCAAGGGAGGAGAAACAACATGGAATTCACGGCACCTGGAGGAGGCCTCCCAGGCCCTGACACTTGCTGAGTGCCTGCACAAGAAGGCATCCGGCTCAGGGAGGTAGCTCAGGGCAGGGTGTAGTAATGAAACGGTGCCCTCTTCACACTGAAATAAGACAGTGGACTTTCAGATCGGGAAAGCACACACCAGCAGGACGCATGTTGAATGTGCCAGGTTACACGGAAACTTTTGCACACATAACACTGACAGCAAGTTATGTCTGACCTACCTGGCCAGTGTTAGTAGGAGTTCAAGGCTACTAAATCAAATGACTGCACCCTGCACCAGAGGCTTATAGAGAAACTCAGACCCTTGAGATTTTCTAAGTGAAGAATGCAAAATAAAGGCCTTCTGAAGTCCTCCCATCACAAAGAGAGGCTTCCTTGAGACACAGACAAGCGAGTTTAACATGCATGCAAATGTGTTGAGACCCCAATCAGCCACTATTCCACCAGTGGCACGTCCACCCCATCCGCCCTCTTTTCTAGACAAGAGGAATGCCATTTGCTACTGTCATTTTAAGGTGGCATACCTACAGAGTTAACGATGAACATGTATTAGGTCTTTATTTTCTGCTTCTTGATTTTTCAATTAAGCCACCCCCCCCAAAAAAGATCCCTCCAATTCTGTCTTGCTGAAAAACAATAATGAGGATGACAGATGATTTCTGCCAGGAGAACGGAATTAACAAATGCAGCCAAGCTCAGATTACTTTCTGGCAAGAACTAGAGCGCTCTGGTGGGGGTTCGGTTTCTCTACCAGAGAGGAGCAATGCTAGGGCACGTCAATTGGGAGGTGGAAAAGCAAGCCAGTTACGACATACTTGTAACACAACCCTCAACCAAAAGGAGGTGTCAATGTCTAATTTCCTGTGAGTTTGGCTCTGACCCTATTTTCAAACGGTCAAGCTGGAAGCTCTGTCGCTGTAGAATGAGTCTTACCTGAATGAGAGTCTGTCTCTCTGCTTTAGGGAGGTTCTTAGCTTGAAGTTCTGCCTCTTCCCATTCCTTCTTTACCTAGAACAAATGCCAAAGACATTGTAACTACAGTCTCCTCAACAACAGAACCAATGTCAATTATGTTTTAAAATAAAGACACACACACTATAATCAGAGAACAATCCCCTAAAACAACATCTTAGCTTTCTCAAAGTATCGCCACGCGCTGGATCTCATGTAGAAACTGAAAAAGAGAACTGCATCGTGTGACCCCTGAGGAGCTCAGGCCTATTTTAGCTTGTTTGAGGAAAGAGCTATTGCCTCACAAGGGCATGGGTCTTAAGGAGGATCCAAACGAAACCTCAGTCCCATGACCTTCTAACCATGCAACCTTGAATTGTACAGCCTTGCGTTACTTACGGTCCCCGAGTCTTTGCACCTCGTCAAAATAATGAAATTAAGCCTCACTTCTAAGAACTGAGGTGGAGAAAATAAAGAGCACCTTTTCTAGAGCACTAATGGGTGTGTGGGATCTCAGATTGGTACTGAGCCTGAGCATCAATTTCCACTCGGACCTTCTGCGTTGGCCAAGGAGAAAGTTGCTAGTGGTTCCTGTAGCCAACACTACTCTACCGCTTAAACGCTCTGCTTTCAAGGATGAGGAAACACCCCCAAGTCTCAAAGTCTTGACAGTCAACAGTATCTGTTAGAATTGATGGCCATATATGTTATCATTTAATTTTGTTAGAAATACTTTTTTCCCCTTTCCCTTACTTTATTGGGGGCTCTTACATCTCTTACCACAATCTATAAATTCATCCAGTGTGTCAAGTACATTTGCACATATGCTGCCATCATCATTTTCAAAGCATTCTCTTCCCACTTGAACCCGATATCTGCTCCCCAGTTCCTCCTCCTCCCTCCCTCACAAACCCTTGATAAGTTATAGATTATTATTTTCATATCTTACATCATCTTCCATCACCCCTCACCCTGGAAGGGGGGTATAGGTTGACCCTTGTGATCGATTCCCCCTTCCTCCCCCAACCCTCCCCTAATCTTCCTGGTATCTCTACTCTCATTGTTGGCCCTGAAGGGTTTATCTATCCTGGATTCCCTGTGTTGCAGGGTCTTATCTGTAGCAGTGTGCATGTTATGGTCTAATCTGATTTGTAAGGTATAATTGAGTTCTTGATAGTGAGGGGAAGGAAGCATCAAAGAACTAGAGGAAAGTTGTGTATTTCATCAGTGCTATACTGAACCCTGACTGGCTCATCTCTTCCCTGTGACCCCTCTATAAGGGGATGTCCAATTATCTACAGATGGGCATTGGGTCTCCACTCCATGCCCCCTCCCCACCTCAATTCACATTGGGTATGATTTTGTTCTGGCTTTTAGATGCCTGACACCTGATCCCATCGACACCTCATGATCACACAGGCTAGTGTGCTTCTTCCATGTGGGCTTTGTTGCTTCTCAGCTAGATGGCCACTTGTTTATCTTCAAGCCTTTAAAACCCCGGATGCTATATTTGTTGTTAGCTGGGCACCATCAGCTTTCATCACCACATTTACTTATGCACCCATTTTGCCTTCAGTGATTGTGTTGGGAAGCTGAGTATCACAGAATGCTGGATTGTTAGAACAAAGTGTTCTTGCATTGAGGGAATACTTGAGTGGAGGCCCAATGCCCGGCTGCAACTTTAATTCTTAATATATAGATATGAATATATAGTTCTATTCCCCTCTCATTTTATATATATGTGTATTTACATACGTACATGTCTGTCTTTAGACCTCTATATATGTCCTTTGTCTCCTGGTTCTTTCCTCTATTTCCTTTTATTTTCTTCTTGTCCCACCATCATGTTCAGTCTTCATTTGGGTTTAACAATTCCTTGCTGCTACAGTGCCCCTGATTAAGCCTCACTAGGCATCCTATGCCCTTCTTTCCATTGATTTAAGTTCATTTGTTGTTCCGTTGTCCCTGGATTGGTCCTGCCTTACCTCACCCCTTCCTTTCTCCCACCTCCCCTTCTCCCATATCCTCCTGGAACCACTGGTCTCGTTCTTTTCATCTCTGAATTATTTATCCTCCCAATCTTATCTAGATAGACATGAGAAATACTTTCTTCTTATGGTTGAGAATACATGCTCTCTATTCACAATAGGAAAACTTTTTTTTTTTTGGGGGGGGGAGCGCTAAACTGCCTTCAGAACACAGTCCTACTCTGGTGCCCAGGATCACCATGAGTTGGAATCCACTTGACGGTGTGCACTTTTAATATATAAATGTCACACTGAAGTGCTTAGTAGAATGCCCGAAAGGTAATGAGCAAAGCTAACTATCCGATCAAAGAAGCAGAGGGGCGGGAAGAGAGGAAGGACTAACAGGTAGCTCTACTTACGCTCCTATCACCTTCCCTTCCCTACCACAGCTAGGATGACATTCTGAGGAGATGGGGTCACTGGTCACCACTTACGAAAATGAAAGGGACCCACACCAAACACCATGAGGAGATGCCCTACCCTGTCCATTCGGTTGCGGTGCCGAATTTCCAGCTGCTCCTTAGCCTTCTGGAAGCGAGCATGCTCATTATCATCTGTTGAGGTCTCGAAGTACACATCAACATCATTGGTGGGCAGAGGAGTTGGGGGAACTGAAAGAAAATTACAGAAGACGTTCTATTAGAGAACCAGACATAGTCTCAAAATTGTGCCCGCACTCTAGGAAGACAACTGAGCCCAGGACCTGTAAAATTGACTCAAATCTGTCTTGTATCGTGCTAAAAGTACAGGGTGCTGCTGTCTGCCAAGACTCCACTCTGTTAGATCACAGTGGGCAATCATCCTTACAGAATATTCATCAACCATGTCAGTCCATGCTAATCTAGCAATTTACGGGTACATCAACCATCTGGTACCTGAATTCCAGTAAAACATCTACCTACAACTTCAGGGCAAAAGGAAAAAAACTCTTTGCCTTCTTCTGTTCCTTCCTTCAGTTCTTAATGTCATAAAATCTGAAGGGAAAAAGAGCTACCTTACGGCTTGTCACTGAAGCCTCTGAAGAGATGAGGGCAAAGGTCAAAATTCTCCATTTCTTAGGTGTTTCATTTTCTTGGCTACTTTTACGTCAAAACGTATCTGGGGGAGCTTGTTCAGTTGGATGCTTTTTGCTTGCACTGAGGCTTGGCAGAGAAAGTCTAAGCACTCTCCCCTGTAGTTCTGGGTTTTCAGTGTTACTGAAGGACGCTTGCCTCCGTCTCAAACCAAAGCGCTGTAACTGTACAAGAACAACTTGCGACCGATGAAGGTGCTTGGTGCTATTTAATCTCTTGCACTACCTGACCTTCTCTCATGAAGTAAAAATCATGAAAATACACACGTCCCCACTGCTCGTCACACAAACTATTCCTAGCCCCAGAAAAATGCCCATCTTTAACAGTGGAGCCTAACATTCTCAAGGAAAGGAGTAAGGTGGTGAGTTTATGAGTCACTCTCTCGAGAAATAACTGTGGACCTTCTTTTTATCTTTGTGAAGGAAAGTAAATTCTTATGAGTGAAAGTAAAGGTTTTGATGGTAGGTTCTCACACACAAGAACAGGTTATCTTCGGAAAGTGCAGAGAGATTCTCTTGTTGAGAGAAAAGGAAAGGGGTGGGGGTGGGGGGATGAACCACAAAGACCTGGAAACTCTCATTAGAGCTCAATTCATTCTAGGTTTCCCAAGTGAAAGAATGAAGCATGACTTGCTTGCAGAAATTACTACGTCTTGACACAATTTCAGAACTAAAGTGGAGAACTGATACCAAAAATGCAACTAATTTTCATTCAAAAAATAATCTAACTTCCAGAATATTTCAATATAACATTAAAACTGGCTAAAATAATAAAACTATAAATTAGTAAGCCACTCCAAAGTTTTTGTTAGAAACCTCTTTAGTGTTATTAATGCTGTACAGTTAGTTCCAATTCATAACAATTGATTCTATGCACAACAGCAGGAAACACTGACCTCCTATTGACCCTGTTGTTATTCAAGTTAGTCAAAAAAAGTATTGCCACTATGGTTCTAATTCATATATGCACAGGTTTATTCGAAACAAAATATATTTAAAACATGTCTCTGCAATTTGTGCAATGGCTGCCGACAAGTTCTATCAGTAATACGTTTATCTTAGTTTCACTAAAGTACCTACCCAAAAAAAAGATTTTTTCCTGTGTGCCATGGAAAAAACTATTTTGAAGTTAGGGTAAGATCAAATTAAAAACAAACCTTAAGTGGACATCTTCCCAAAGCACTAAGCTTTACAAGTTCATAGGAATGCTGTGCCCCATCACACACGTTTTTAGACGAATCAAGTATTCTCAGGAAGGTGGGTAAGCCTTTAAAGAAGACGAGCCAAGCAAAGACAGACGGTCCATCTCGATGACACTGTGGATGGAGTCTAGCATGTGAATATCTCGCGCCGTTTGGCATTTTCACAGTTAAGCTAACATCATGGCTTAAGCAAGTTTTCAGCTGGCTGGGTGCCAAATGCATCATGTGACGATTAGCTAGCTCCAAGACAGATCTTCCTTAAGTCTTTTATAGAAAGATCAAAATGAAAAAGACCATTTTAGGGAAGGAACCGTAGGCCAGGATGAGTCTTGCATTTATCAAGATGATCCCTCCAGAAGAGTGACTTCCGAGGGGCCTTGTAGAGGGCCAGTACATTCAAGGCAGACATCAACTCAGAAGGTCTGTTAGTTGTTCTTTAGAAATCCCAACAGGGCAGTTTTGGTGGAATGTGTCAAAGGACACAGGAAAATATATTCCCACAAGGATGCCCAAACTGCTGTTTTTAAAGCGGTATTACATCACAGAAGGCAGTGTTTTTTAGGGAAGGGGTATAGAGAAGTGGAATTACTGCCTTCAGGGAGAAATACTAGTTTCACATTTTGACAGTTTTGTTTAATAAAGATTTCTATGATTTTTTAACAGCAATACGTTTGAACTTACCCTTGCACAAACCTAAAACGTACAACTCATGTGCTTGCAAAAGCTGCACGCTAACAAGACCAAAGAGGAACTGACCCATTTGCATTATGGTGCTGGCAAAGAATACGGAATATAAACGATGGCTTGTCAGATGAACAAGCAAATCTGCTCTGGAAAAATTATAGCAGAACACGCCTCAGAAGTAAGGATGGTGAGACGACTTTGTCTCTTGTTCTTTGAAAACATTCTCGGGAGAGACCAGTTCCTGGAGAAGAGCATGGTTGCCAGAAAAGGTCGGGGAAAGAGTAGACTCAGTAAGATGGACGGACACAGTGGCCGCAACGACGGAGCAGGGCTTCGCTCTGGTGTACATCGGGTCCTTATGAACCAGAACCAACCTGGCGGCACTGAGCAACCACAAAGGGCAACTAAATCCTAAAAAGGATACATTTTGTGAGGACTCTTTGCCTCCTACAATGGTTTAAATAGGATTTCAATACCAAATGTTCAGGTGAACAGTTTACCAAAACACATTCTCGGATACTCCAAAGCTAAGTGAAGGAAAATGTCAAAGCACCGAACCCCACAAGTACCAATACTCAGGTTGCTAGGAGAGAAGACTGTGCACTGGCAATGGAGTCTTGATTGACAGCATGCTTATCAGTTTGGCTCTACCGACAGAGTGGGGCTTAGCTCTAGGGACACACACCTCTGCTCTTGTGAAAAGCAATCAGCTCACTGAGACAGCACACTTTTCCCAGCCTCTTTGCAAGGACGTTAGCCCTGGCCAGAGCAATGCTTCCACACCTTCAAAGCACTCTAGCTGGGAGCTCCCACCAGTACACAAACACATGGCTTCTCTTTGGCAAACTGCCCTTAACCTTTATTGGAAACAACTTTGCCCTCAGTAACTGCCATTCCATTCTTACACCACTATGTACCTGACCCTTTGGGTAAAGGAGGTCAGCAGTGAAATCTAATGCCTCGGGAAGCAGCCGGGGTGGCAAAGCCCTGGTGTGCTCAGATGCTAACACCAGTTGCTTCCAAGGAACAAAGATCCAAGCGTCCACTTCTGAGAAGTGAGGCTCAGAGCATTGGAAACCGTGTGGAATGGGTCTATCTTGTCCTACAGAGTTATCATGAGTTCTAGACCACCTAATGGCAGGAGGTTTGGAATTTTGGGTTTGATTCCTCAGGATTCAACCTAAAACAATATTTTGTTAACTTTCATAGTTTGAGTAGGTTTTTTTTGTTTTTAGTTTTAGTTTTATAATGTAGTAATATGACTATCATTAAGTGTTTTTTTAATCACCCAATGCTTTGTGAATAAACCCAATTTCTGCCACTAAAGTTTCAAATGTTATGCAGATCATAAAAACAACTTTTCCTCAGGTCACCAGCTAAAGGCACTAAAAGCACACCACCTTTAGACTTAAAATAGCTTTTATTTGGGTTAGAGGGGGTAAAAACTCCACAAAGGTATTTGAATGAACAGCCACCAGGAGCTACAGCCAAAATCTTTACAAAAAATACCAGGAACAGGCAGCAACTCGTTATCCTAATTAATTCCAGAGCTAGACCCAAGAAAGTGCCGTCTGCTTGCTCTGAGGATTTTATGAACACATGGACTAGTACTGCAAGGTAACACTCTCTCACTGCTGACTCATAGTGACCCTGTGGGTTTCTGAGACTGTAACTGTTTACGGGAGTAGAGAGCCCAGTCTTTCTCCCGAGGAGCTAATGGTGGTTTTGAACTGCCGACCATTCAGATTGCAGCCCAATGTGTAACCACTACGCCACAGGGCTCCTCTGTTGCAACGTAAGAGAAAGAGAAAGCGTAAAAAGGGGCAACTAGGGAGAAAGGAAAATTGTCCTCCTGTGTGTACCGTAAATCCAATTCAAGGGAACCACTGAATTTTCTTTGTTTCCAAAGAACACACAGGAAAGTTCCTTCACTTTGTAGAGTTCAATATGATCTGGAGATCCCATATTAGCTGAAGAAACAACCCGCTGAGACCACTTGGCTGTAGAGCTATTTCCCTAGCATGCATAATGCAAGGCATTTCAATGTCCTGAACACTCAAAATAATCCCTGTTACTTAGAGAACAGGAAGTCCTGTTAGCCAGTATGCAGCCCAGGGGATTAGCAGCAGTGGTGGTTCAAAGACAAACGAGCAGCAAAGCCCAGAACATGAGCATGTGCAGATTTCATGGCTCATATGCTTACCTGGTTGTGCCTTTCAACTAGAGACAGCTGAGGGCACCCAACCAACCCCAAGGGCCCTGAGACCTGGGAGTCACGGACTAGAGAAGAAAGCAGCTCTCACAGCAGCAGCAGCACCACCACCAGCCGGACACACAGAGTTAATGGGCACACGGAAGCTGACCATTCGACTACCAGAATTAGAGCCACGTCTAGCTCCAGGCAGCACAAGGTGAGGAGGATGACAGACAGCAAACGCTGAGTCAGTTGGGACAACTACACAGACGCAGTCACGAGGACGGCCCAGAGAGACAGAACGCTGGACAGGACAGTGGCTGCTGCACAGAGCCAGCGTGAGGCGGGACTTACTCATCATCTTACACACAGCCATACAATAATCCTCAGACTCAAAATTGTTCCTGTTGCCTCCGCAGCCGCCATATATAAAGCGCACGCACTTTCCCTTGGAGAGGTCGAAGTACCAACGAGGCATCACGGCCCGGCAGGGCCCCGTCATCGCCTCCTGGGAGCAGACAGCTGTGTGAAAATGGTCAGAATGTCAGCAGTGGCTTCAAAATGCTACAGACCAGCAAGGGGTTGGGGTGGGGTGAGGAGAAGGTGCCAGGGGGCAGACTAACACCAGAAAAGGCCAAGGTTGGGCAGAACCTGGCTAACTCACTCACCAACTCACAGTCAGTCCCTTCCCATTCTGAAGTACAAAAGGACGATTGGGAACCGAAAACAAACGTGTTTCTTTTTACTATTAGTGATTGGTTCTCTGAGCCTCACGTTTCTAACTTTTAAGTAGCATTGTTTGCCTCGTTGGATCTGGTGTGTGAGTCCCAGGCCAGTGGGGATGTGAGTGCAACTGCTGTGCTGTTGTGACTTCCCAGTTGCTGTGAAGACTACTTAAGGCGCTGAACAGGATGAGTGCTCAGTTCCTATAGTGACCAAGCGAGCTGAAACTTCTAGACTCGCTAAATAATGTCCCCGCCAAAGAGAGTCCTAAACAATTCTTCAGATAGCAATTGGCCTCAAGTGCACATTTAGCAGGAGACTAGAGGTAAGTGGTACTGGAACCAGCACAACTTTTCACCCTAAACTGGCAAGATGAAAACATCGCTGACCTCAATCCCTTACTAAGCGGCCATAAAATGCCACTGTCCTGGCTGCAAACATCCTTCTCAGGGGCAGAGGACACACTCAGGAGAAGAAATACCACGGAAGGTATTTTCCCCCTGGAATGCTGGCATGTCAGCAGTATTGAAGAGGGGGAGTTCCCTTTGGGGAGAGAACATTCCAGGCTGGTGGGGAAGAAGCATGCCAAGGGGTGTGTTATGGTATTTCTAAGTCTCAGTTCTCTAATTAAATCCTTCCAAGGGAAAGGATTTTCTGGTTCAATTCTGAGTCGTCCACCCCACCCCCACCCCGATGTGTCAACTGCCAGACTCCCTAGAGTGGCAGACCCAAGGTGTGAGTTCATGTCCACTGCACAGAAACGCCACTTTTCCTTTAGTCGGTTACCAGTCCTAACACCAAGTTCTAAGCAGCTACCATGTGGACTGTAACGCTGTGGCTCAATGTCTGGGTTACCTTTCACATCGTGGGTAATTTCCTTTTCTGAAATGATCCCATCACTGCTGGGCTCGGTTGGGTTCTCCTCATTGTATTCATCCCCTTTAAAAGTGTCATAGTAGTAATCACGGTCTTCCACAGCTTCCTCCTCCCCCTCTTCTTCCTCATCATCATCTTCATCGTCATCCTCATCAACAGCTGCTTCTGTGAAGTCTTCCAAATTGGCTTCAGTAGGAAATTCACTACAGACCACAGGAGGGGGAAAAAAAAGAGGAAGGTTGATGCCAATTTCTAAGACAATGCTCAACAATGGTTCCCCTGCCTATTTTAAAACATAAAAACAGAGACAGGAAATAAGCTCAACTCACATGGAACTGCTACTAAAGCCTTCAGCTCAGCTACATCAGCAAAAGGGAAGAGCTACTGAACAAAGACTGCAAAACCTGCAGAAGGGAATGTGGCCCAGAGCACTGTAACGCGGAACCCCGTGTACTGCTGTGATCATGTTCAGCTGCGATTAGAATGGAGGTGGCTTGATGGGGTCACGAATAAGGGAACACCTCCAAAAGTGAGGGTTTAGTAACAGCAGCCACTGGTACACTAGGGCGAAAGGTGAGATGAATTCCTAGGTCCTGGATAGGAGTTTACCTTTTATAAATATCATAGTCATCATCCTCTTCCTCTTCCTCCTCCTCTTTGGAGATAGTGGATTCAACAATCTTTGTTGGAGGACAGCACACATACTCAATGCCATGGAACTGGTCCACCCCACATGGCAACAGCATGCCGTAACTATATAAGGCCATCCCCTGCGTCAGACATGCCTGAAAGACATCCAGAGACCAGCAGTGAACAGACTCTACAGTGACTATGGTCAAATGCTCACCAAGCCTTAGCCTGACACCTAAAAAAAGCCCTTATTAAGTCACTACATACTGCTTTCTTTTTCAGACACCAATTTTCTGCCAAAAAGTTGTGATATTATTTTTAGAAAATTTCTACATTTTTCTTAACTTGCAACAGGGAAATACCGCTTAGGATAAATACACTGAAAGCCCCAAGCTGGAGAAAATGAAGAAAAGGGAGTTTTCTTCTCACTAACTCTCAACACCACTTAGACGGTGGGCAGTAATTTACACTCACCCTACAAGCAGGCAGTTCCTTCAGAACATGACCACAGAAAGAGGGCTGGCTGGAGAATCAACTTCACTTCAGATAGCAGGAGTTACGAGAGGACAGTTCTCTCCATAGCTAACTGACAGTCAGTTCTGTCTGTCTGGAGTTGAGACATCTGTTTTCCTTAACTGGCTAGCTCTAGGGCTTGGGTGGCTCTCCTGTGATAGACCCTGTGACAGCACACAGCATCTTTGCTGGATAATGCACTTTAGGAGCTTTGCTTGTCAACCCTGGACTTCATGAAAGGATATTTAATCCTCTCAAATGGTTAGAATCTAGAAGGTACAAGTATATTCAAACCCTGAAAATTTAAAAGGGGGGGGGGCACGGTAGTAGGTGGGAGGGCTAATTCAACACTACTTTCTTTCCAAGCAGATACACAACACTTGACTCTTTCCCATCCGTTTTCTTACCTCCTTGACGACAGTGTGCCAATGTTGGTGGTTTTCACACACCTCCATCTGCGTTTTGTGGGAAAACTGGCACTTTTCTGGAACTAGCAGAACATCACTTACAAATTCACCCACTGGAAAACAGAAGAGCCGTCAGAAGCAGATCCGATGGTAGACTGGTGGTGACACATCTCGATAGTTACCATGATAGGTACACAGTCAGGTGGACCCAGGAGCACTCTCCAATCGACATCAGTTGATGTTAGTCTTACATGCAAAGACTAGGTACAGCTCCAGGGAAGCAACCACAAGAACCCAACATTCTCTTAGAAGCACAATGCTGGGTTCCCTAGCTCTTTCCCAGTTCCATTGCTGATCCGTATGAATACAGGATGTGTGGAAGCCAAACAGGGTACTTGTAACATTTGTCTTCCCTTCCGCCTCGTGGTTATGACAAACACATGCAGCTACACTGCACAGCCTCTGATATCACGTGAATAACACCAATTACCCCTAGTCTTTTACCATCTTAGTTCTGCTCTAAGAACAAAATGCCCAGGAAACGAGGGCTGGTTAGTCTACTGCAATGCAAATGAATCTTATTTTAGCCCTTTAGTTACCTAGAAACCTAATTCTATAATAAAGCACCACTTTAATAAGTGACCCAGGTGTGTGATTAATTACACAGGGGAAAGGAGACCTTTGATAATGAACAGCACTGGTAGATACTAGCTCAGCCAGGTGGTCAATTAAGCAGCACCAATAACGAGCCGACATACGCCATAACCTATGGAGACGACATCACCCTAATTTTAATCTAGTCACGACAAAGCAAGACACATCCAAATTCAAATCTGCTAAACAGAAAATATCATTATTTTTTTTTTTAAAGACTTGGGAACTATTCTAGCTCCAACGTAATGTGTAATTCCTTGTTTGGATCCTGGCTTGTTAAAAAAAAGCTATGGAGGACAAGATGAGGACATTTAGGGAAACTGTACAAGTTTGATCAGTTTTGTCACTATGTGGAAGAATGTCCTTGCTCTTAGGAGAAACAAGCAGATATATTTAGAGGGGAAGGGTCATGATGTTACATTATGTGTAAATGACCTGACAAAACGTATCTATAAAATACACACGGAGAAAGTGAGATACAGTAAAAAAGGCTGAATTGAACCATCTCGGCAGAGTGCAGAGGCAATCACTACTGCTACCGTTCTAAAATCTAAAACATTTTTTCAAAAACTTGGGACAAAACACATTGCTGTTAGCAATAGAATCTCTTTGTCATCTAAAATTCTATGCTGAAGTGTTTACCGGGAAAAAAAATTCTGTGATGTGTTTATAAATAATTGGAAGTAAGGTTCTACATGAATAAATACAAGTGGCCATGAACTAACGATTAGGATGGCTGGCAAAGGGACACAGGGGAATAGCTGCATTATTCTACTTTTAGATAGGCTTTTATTTTTCTTAATACAAAGTTTTATAGTACTGTGATTGTCACTCAGTGGTAGATTCCCATCCAGGACTGACAGGGCAGGACTCAGTAATGTACACTAACAAGCAGCCTGGGTAACTGTGACACAAGAGATGGAGTTTACCACTAAGTTCAGGGGGAAATGGAATAAGTAGTGGCAGGAAGGGAAATAAAAGCTGGCAGGGTAACTGCTCTGTCCAAAATAAGAGAGAAGTCTGATAACAAAGTTTTCTAGCCTAAGAAGGGTCTCGGTATTCGTCTAGCAGAGAGTCTGTGTAGATCCACCCATGGCCTAGTACTCCCAGGTCGTCTCTGTCTCTGACTCTTGGTCCTCTAAGCAGTGGAGAAGTCAGCACCCAAGTAACAAGAGGAGGGAAATGCTCATCTATTGTGAGACACATCCTGACAGTACAAACTAGAATAGGTTAGTCCACCTCCTCACATCAACATAGTGTTACACAAGGTGGTCAGGGCACTTTGAGTCACTGAGAGGAATACAACATTGTGGACTTAGCACCGGCTCTGTGCAGACAACGAAGCAGAGCTATGAGACAGGCCTGGTGCTGTCCTGGAGGGTTTCTAAAGGCACTAGGGAGAAGTAGAGCAGGCACACAGCTTTGCCTTCACCTAGATTAATATGCACAGCTTAGACACAAAACAAGACAGCATATTGGGATCTGCCCTCTACTAGGAAAGCCCCCTGGCTCACCCCCAAAAACATAGGGGGGAAAAGAGAATATATTTAGCAATATATATATTAAGTACATGGGAGGCTAACTGCCAGGATTTAAAAACACTAAGTAAATGTTAGCAATAACTACTGATGCTAATATTTTACTTTAATGATTTGGGTTGAGTAACTAGTTTATAAGAAACTAACTACAACATCTTATCAGAAAGAAATCTATAAAAGTTAGTAATTTTGATTTTTAAAACCTTAATTTTGCATGGATAATGGCAGCATTAGGGAGAAAAATGTTTAAATAGTGAATTGTACTTACTGACCCAGAAAGTTGTTCTCTAAAACTATTACCTTTAAACTAAGTAACAGTTTTGTGTTACTCTGAGGGAAGGGGGGGGGGTAGTATTTACAAGACCAAAGAGTCAACAGCTAATGTAAAGCAGAGCCGAGAAGGGTGTTTTTGGTGCTGGTGCTGGTGCAGGGAGATTAAGTAATGGAAAGAAAAAAAAATCAGATTAGACGAATGTTATCACCATGTGAAGAAATTAACCATATCACTTATCATTATGTCCACAATTGGAATAAGTATTGCTGTGTAAATTCTCACCCCAAAATAAGAAAACCAAACAAAATCCAAGCATTTTGCTATCAGATATATCTATAGAAGCAGCAAACAAACTATAGTTCTTCAAAGAGGTCTTGTACAACAGATGTGGCAAATGTAATACGTCATTTGCTTCTATAAGCACTGATCATGGATGAAAGGAAGATAAAATCCTTGATTACTCCAATTTTTTCTTTATCATGATGTTGTCTATTGGTCCTGCTGGGGATTTTTATTTCCTTTCATTGAGCCATCATCCACACTGAAGGTTGACCTCCTTGATCTTCCTCAAGTGCTTCAAGTCCTCCTCTCTCTCAGCAAGCAAGGCTGTGCCATCTGCCTGCGTGTCACAGGTTGATGGTAAGCTTTCCTCCAAGCTTGATGCCTCGTTCTTCTTTATACAGTCCAGCTTCTTAAATTATTTGCTCAGCATACAGATTGAGAAGTGTGGTGAAAGGATACTACCCTGATGCCCACCTTCCCTAATTCCAAACCATGCAGTATTCCCTTGTTCTATTCAAACAGCTGCTGCTTGGTCCCGGTGCAGGTTCTGCGTGAGCACAATGAAGTGTTCTGGAATTGCCATTCCTCTCAATGCTATCCATAGTTTGCTATGATCCATAGTCAAATGCCTTTACATATCAATTTTTTCTTTACATTATCATACACACATTTGCAAGGTAGAAAATTCTGTATTATACTTATCAGCCAGACCACAAATCTGCCTCATGCCTGCTGATTACATTCAGGGATACCTTCACCATAAACATTAATTTCACATGACTGATGTAAGGGCAAAGTTGGATTGCATCTTCGGTTATCACTTTTATTCAATACTACGAAAAAGCTTATCCTCAGAAGACAGAAGCAATGGGAGAGGCAGAGCTGATAATCACCTGAAAAGTGGTCAGCTGTAAAGTCTAGAAACAGTAAGTATTCCAAATAATTGGGAATTTCCCATAAGCTCATACAGCCTCTCAACAGAGATGGAGGGACATGCATTTTGAGCCAAGAGAATATAAAATTGAACAGTGACCATGGATGAAAGAGGACAGGTTTTTGCTTAGGGGGCACTGAGTTCTTTTTAATCGTGGTGGAACAATTTGGAGCAGGATAACAATAATGGTTGTACACACAGAGTGTAATCAATGGCACTGCATTATACATGTAGAAGTTGTTGAATTGGTGTTTTGTATATTTTTGCCAAAATGGAAAAGAAAATTACATAAATAACAATGAGTATGGGGGGAAAACAAAATGTTCTTAAATTGACTGTGGTCAAGATTGTACAACTCTCTTGATATGACTGAACTATTGAATTGTATGATATGTGGAGGAAGTGCCAATAAAAAGTGTCTTAAAAATACATAAAATTGAATGGAAGAACCCCAAAGATTTGAAAGCAGGGACTCAAATCAGTTATTTGTACATCAAGATCCACTGAAGCTTTATCCACAACAGCCAAAAGGCAGAAACAGGCTCAGTGCCCATCCACAGAAGCATGGATAATATTAGTGTTCCTTTTCAATGCAATACTTATATAAAGAGGATGTTTTCATACATGCCATATATATATATGTGTGTGTGTGTGTGTGTGTGTGTGTATGTATATATATGAACAGTGAAAACATTGTGCTAATCAAATAAGAACCAATGCTGTAAGATTTCACTTAAATGAAATTTCTTTAATTGGCAAACAAACGCAAAGAGATAAAAGTTTACTAGTGGTTACCATATGGTGGGAAAAGGGAAGAGCAAGGACTTATTGCTTAAGGAGTCGCCAGTTTCTGATAATAGGAAACTGATTGTACAGCATGCTAAATTAGTGCCACTAAATGGTACCTCACACAAACGGCAATATATATTTCATCACAATAAAATAATTTTAAAGTAAATTTTAAGTGGGGAATTCCCCTTTCAAAAAACCAAAATCTCGCAAAGGAATACTCACCCAGACACTTAAAAGGTGTAACAATGTGACTCTTGCACTGTTTCTTGTCCCTCCGGCACCAATTGTCAACACTAATGGGTTGGTTTGCTTCCATAACATTTGTGATCTGCAGCTCTGGATACATCTGTCAAGAAGAGGGAAACACAAAAGCCACATCCACATAATGACCTGATTTTACAGGTGGATATTTCCTTGTCAGTCAAGATAAATTTCTAAGCTGACTTGGCATCCAGTCTTTTCCTAGATAAATTCTAAAGTTTCTCACCCTGTTACCCCTGGTACCAAATGAAGGAGCCAAGTACAAAGATACAGTTAACTATACGCTTTCTTTTTACTAGAGTTCTACAGTGTTCATGCATTCTCGTGAAGTAGTTTTCATTTAAAATACACAAAGCCAGCAGGCTTTCAACTGAAAAACAAACAAACAAACAAACAAACAAACCATTAGTTATCCCATTCACTTGTAGTATAGTGTGAGTTCCTGAATTAAAACATTTGAGACAAGTCTAAGAAAATGTCTAATTATTAAAGTAAATAATAAAACGTCTTCATCCCCTATATGCCAGTATTGGTAAGAAATTAAAACATCCATCTTGTTCTGGATCAAATTTTGACTCGGTAGATAAACTGAATCAGATAAACTGGTAAAGCTGCTTTGTGTCAGCCAGCAGAAAACCCAACCATGCATCTCATATGCTGATTCACATCTTCCCATAACAAGTAAGAAGCTACGATAACTAGGCTGTATTGCCAAAACTTCCTGTAAGAACTGAGAGCTCTTGGTTGAAAAATCTCAATCATATCAGACTTTAAAAGCAAGAGGCTCTAGTCAATGGCAACTTGGCTGTAGGTCAAAAGAGCAGTGACAGACTGTCCATCTAATGAAAACAGGTTCAACCTTGGCTCAGGGAAAAATGGTTCCTACTTTCTAGCAACGCTCTTACCTCCTGACAGTACTGAAGAACTTCTTCTTTTGTTCCAAAGCAACTTTTTGTGCCTGTTGGGTCAGGTTCCCACTTCCCAGTCTGAATGTTCACATGCATATTTAACTTCCCACAAAACATGGCAATCTGCGGCTCAGCAACAGCAAATCCTGTTCCAGCATTGGCTGCAAGAGCCTATTAAAGGGAAAAACATCCGAGGTTTACTCCCAAAAAATCCGCTACAATAGCATGGTCATTTGGCATTTTTTTTAACAGAATTTATCCTCAAAAAATAGCAGTGTTAGAAGGCCTAAAATCCCAACCCTCCCATACAACACCAAGAAAAAAAATGCCAGAAATATGTATTCAACCACATAAAAACCTTGACAGGGTAGTAAAGTGATGGCAGAGGAGCCATAGTTTAAAACAAACAAAAAGACCTGGGTGATTATCAGATAGTAGAAAAATCTCTCTCTCTTCACTGCCCCCTTTGTATCCTAGTATAGCAACAGATGATTGTAGTAGGGGAGTCAGATACGCCACTTGACCTTAGCCAAAAGGCTGAGAAGCAATTGAAGGGTAGTCGGAGCTGTAGCCCAAACAACCCAATTCCTTATACACTAAAGGGGTTGGTCTCTGCCCCAAAGTAAACAGAACGGATGCAAAGTACTGTTCAAGATGGGTGCTCTGGTCAGAGTAAGTGCCACCTGATGGACCGAGATCTCGCTCTGGCCTCAGTCAACATGCTCAGAGGACAGAGGTGGTGAGCGCAAGAACTGAATTGCACCTGCGCAAAACTGCGCTGATTAGCATGTGTTTTCTGTTCAGCCAGGGAGCAAACTCAACATTGTGGCTTGAATCAAAAAACTCACAGGAAAAGGGACAGAACAGTAGATAAAGTCTGAAGACTATACGTACCTATGGTTTCTCGCAAAAATTAGCACTTTCAAAAGCACCATGTATTTTGAGGAATTGAGAAAGTCAACTCCACGCTAAATATCTTGGCTAGAACAACAAAAGCACAAGGCATAAGAAGAAAATGGATATGACCACTTAAGGTAACAAGATAAACTGAGAGTTACTTTGCTTTACAGAAAGTCAGATCATGAACACATAGGAAGAATATGATCTAACAATACATAACAAGTTAAAAAAACTGGAGGAAAATATTGGCAAATAATGAAAACCACGAAACGATGCATCAATAAAACAAAAATATAAACAATGAGACAGGAATATTGGGATTAAAAAATATAATAATAAGGGGGAAAGTCAGTGGGAGTCTTTCACAGCACATTTGAGCTGGCAAAACAATTAGCAAACTGAAAGACGGGCAGGAGCCCTGGTTTTGGGTGTGTGTGTGTGTGTGTGTGTGTGTGTGTGAAGCTAATTGAAACTATAGTATCTTAAGAGCACAACGAAAGAAGACTCAAGACTGCAAAGTATAGCAAGACATCATCATCAAAGGAAACTAACATATCCATCATGGAAATTCAAAATAAGGAAATTTGAAGAAATCAGGGCAGAAAACTTTGCAAACCTGATGAAGGACATGAACTTCAAATCCACGCAGCTCAACAAGCTTGAAGTAGGAAAAACCCCAAAAGACACATGCTATACATATCAAACTCTCAAAGAGAACCCTGCAAGCAGCAAGAAAGAAAGCAAATGACAATACACACAGCACCCTCAGTAAGACTGTGTGCCAGTTTCTTTTTAGAAATCGTGGAGGCCAGAAGGCAATCGAATGACACACTTAAAGGGCAAACAGAAAGGCACTGTCAACCAAAAATACTTCTATCTGGCACAATTGCGATTCAAGATTGAGGGTGAAACAAAAACATGCCAGATAAAAGCCGTGGGAGCCTGTTGTCACTAGACCTGCCCGACAAGAAACACTAAAGGGGATTTTTTCAAAGGCAAAGGCACTAGACACAACTTCAGCAAAGGTAATTTCATGGCAAGAATATGGACTGGTCTTGGAAGGTGTTTTGTCCATCATCCTAGCTATTATGTTACTCGGGCTCAATAGTTACAAATGCATAAGAAGTATAAGTTTATACACGAGGGATAAATATGCAGTAGTTAGTAACAACAAAAAATGAGGTAGGAACAATAAAGGAATTGGGTTTTTATATGTTCCTGACATTCAGTTGGTATCAATTTAAATTACTAAGTTGCTATAAAGGTATTAACATGTAATTATCATGGTAACCACAGAGAAACTAACTAAAACTACACACACACACACACACACACACACACACACACACGGTAAATAGTGATTTACTATGCTATGTAAACAACTTTCACCAAAACTAAGGTGACCAGACGTCCTGCTTTGGCAGGACAGTCCTGATTTTGGGTGTTTTAAGAAAGTCCTCATTTTTTGGAAAGAAGGCACGACAAGCTAAGGCATGGTCTATTTGGTCCATATAGACCAAATTTTTAGTCAAGCGCGCCCGCCCCCCCAATGGTGTCCCGCTTTAAATCTGGTCACCTTAACCAAAACACAAATATTTTAATAACGAAACACACACACAGAGGAGGAGAAAGAAAATGATTCACTACAAAAAAGAAAAAAAATGAAGCAGAAATGTTGGCAGTGCTGGAAGAGATAAAGAACAAAGAAGGTGTAAGACACACACATAGAAGCATAGTAAGTCTTGTTGATAAATATGCTAATCAAATGGCAGAGAGTAGCATAACAAATTTATATATAGAGAGAGGATCCAACTATATGGTGTCTACAAGAGGCACATCTTAGTGCAAAAACACAAACACAAACAGGGTGATAATAAAAATGGTGAACAGGGCGGGGGGTGGGGGTGGTTTTCATGCAAACAGTAGCCAAAACTGAGTCAGGATGGCAATTTGCATTTCAGACAAAAAGACTTTAGGTCAAAATTGTTTTTTGGAGACAAGGAAGGGCATTATACAATATAAAAAGGCAAACTCATTAGTAACAATGATAAATATATGTGCACCTAACTAACCAGAGGCCTAAAGTATATAAACTCATATTTGATTTTTAAATACATTATGATCTTTTTTTCAGGACAAACTACCACAACTGTTTTACTTAAATGGTTATTAAAATTAGCCTGTCTCCTATTCGCAAAAGAGGGCAAGCACTTGCTGGCTAGCTTGGAGAAAAAGTTAACTTGGAACTAGAATGTGGCCAAGATTAATCAGGGTTGAGAAGCACCGTAGGTGGACTTCATGAAGAAGACCATCAGAATCTTGGTTGCAAACCTATTGTAAGAATCATCATCTACTGCAGAAGGCAGGTCCTATACCTTCAGTACACACTGATATGAAATCCTATCTCCCCCCCACAGAGCGAGAAAGAAACACGGACTTTTTCCTATAGCTAATATCCAATGGTACTTAATACAAATCATTAAAAGGTACATAAAGGAAATTAAAAAAACAAATATGCGTCACACTTTTCACATTGAGCTCAACATGTGTGTAAAAATGGGCATTCCCTGGAAGTATTTTTTTTTTTGCACTCCTGACGATTGTGGCCAGACACTTAGGACTATGAGCATATACAGTGAACCCTCGCCACTTCGCGCTTCGACTTCCGCGGCTTCACTCTATTGCGGTTTTTGCGTAACAGCGCATGCTCTGTCATTACTGCCACTGATTGGCTCATACTGTACACGCTTGATGCCATAAATAATATAATAAATAATGAATGATAATTGTAATGTCCAAAATGTTTTACTGTATTTTCCCTTTTTTGTTTAATAAATTGGGTAATACGAGTGTAATGGTGACTAAAGGGTGTTTTTTCATGTCCTCTATGCTCTAACTACGAAAATATTTGATTTACAAATAAGGAATCCTACTTCGCGGAATTTCATTTATCACGGTAGGGTCTAGAACCGATTAACCGCGATAAACGAGGGTTCACTGTACATAGGTATGTACATGAGATAAAGGAAAGGAAAACCCCGGTGACATTCTTACATACCAAAATGAGTGTCCTCATAAATTCTTCGTTTACTACTTCAAAAACTCAAAGGTAAATGAAGGCATTCTAGGAAGATACGATAAATATTCCACCACTTGTCTGTCAGTGTGTCATGCTGTGGTGGCTGTGTGCAAGCCATGTAACCGGTATTTCAAGGACCAGCAGCGTCACCCAATGTGAAAAGGTTTCAGCAGAGCTTCCAGACTAAGAACTGACTATGAAGGCGGAATCAGCTGTCCATTTCTGAGGAATTTGCCACCGAAAACCCTATGGATAGCCTTGAAACATGCCAGTTCCTGAAAACCCTCCTGAAAAGCAGCGGAGTATTGTTGGAGATGGTGACAGATGAAATCTTCAGGTCGGAAGGCACTCAAAATACGACCGTGGAAGAGCTGCCTTCTCAAAGTAGTCTGATGGGGTCAAGATCATCATCTGCTGATGGGGAGTATGTCAAAATGAGAAGGAACGGCCGCAAACATCAATTAATAACTAGAACTTGGAATGCAAAGTATGGATCTAGGGAAAGTGGAAGTTGTTAAAAATTGACATGCATAAAGATGGATATTTTAGGCACTAGTGAGCTGAAATGGGTTTGGCACTGGCTCTTTTTTATCAGAAAATCATATGGTTTGCTACAGCAGGAATGGCACAATCAAGGTAGTCATCGTTAAAAAGGGCCCTGGACTGCCAAAAGAACCAACAAGTCTTTCTTGGAAGAAGTACAGTCCAAATGCTCCTTAGAAGCAAGTGTGAAGAGACGTCGTCTCACATACTGTGGACATGGTATCAGGAGAGGCCAGTCTCTGCAGGACGTCACGCTTGGTAAAGTAGAAGGACAGTGAAAAATAGGAAAGCCCTTGATGAGAGGGATTGACTGGTGGCTGCAACAACGGGCTCAAACATCGGAACCATTTTGAGGATGGTACAAGACCAGGCAATGTTTCATTCTGTTGTATATGTGTGGGAACAGGCTCCACAGCACCTAACAACAACAACAACATAAGAATGTTTAGTAAGAGGCCAGATTGGCACAATGGTTAAGGGCTTGACTCCTAACCAAAAGGTCAGCAGTTCAAATGCAGAGTGGCTCTTCCAGCCATTACACCGCTTTCTTCTATTAAAAAAGAAACGACCAGAATTAAATCTGAAAGATTTTGAGCAGTATTTCTTAGATTCTTGTATATTCTAACGTTAAAGGCACATAAACAAAAAG